ACATGCAGAACACCAGTGCAGCTGGGTGATACATATTTCAAACACCACAGCTGACAAAACTTGTAAATAAACTGCCTGTTGATTAATTGTATACATTTAAGTAACCTACACCAAAAGAAAACCCCAAAACAAAGTATGCAGTGGGAGTGCTGTGTCCCCTCAACCGTATCCTTCTCAGATGGGCTCCTCTTGCACCCTGCCTGCCCTGTTTATGTATTTTCTTCAGTGCCAAGAAGGGCTCAAGTACTGAATGTTCAATTCATTAACATACTTTTTGCTTTACCCAGTATGACAAACTACTGTAATTAAGTTGTTGCAGTTCTGTCATTGTCCACATCAATTATGTAGTTTCCAAGATCACCACAATCACAAAGCAAACCACTTCAAGCAACTTAATGGCAAGTGCAATCAGCCCAGAGCAGCCACCAGACTGTCACCACAGTTAAACACACCCTCATGGAGCTCCAGAGATGAAAAGGGCCTATCTGCCAATATCATGTTTTCAGTTTGCTAACAACACTTTGTTCTCTTCCTTGTTTCAATGAGAAAGAAGTCTACATGGATTTGTTTTATTTATCTGAAAGGCTGAAATCAACAGCTCTGAAAAATATTCACTACTTAATGCTGACAATTAAATATACCCAAAAAACCCCCGAAACAAAATCAAAGCTTCCTTTGACACTGTACAAACCGAGTATATCAAAGCTACTCTCCAAAGTTAGCAATGTGCCAAAAAAAGTTATAAAATATTCAAAAGTGATTCTATACATTTTCTGTCTGAATTCTCAAAATCCTGAGGCCAAAAATAACTTTTTCTCGTTTTGATATCCAGAGAAGATTGTGGTACTCCTTAATCATACAACCAAGCCTAGCAGCAAGCTGACAGTCAGGAATGCTGCAGCTGTGGCACGACTACACAGTACCTATTCTTTGGGCCATTTCCATTATTTTTGCTTCCATGTGCTAGGTTCTCCAGGGATCACTAGTTTTCTTGTTATAATCTCCTGAGCAGTTGTTACCCAGTAACAAAAAGTAAACAATCTAAATATTTAAAAGTAAACTACTCAAGGTAAAACTGCAGGGAGCAACAGCTTGACCTGACACGACAAGGCTACCATAGGCTACACAGAACTGAGCTGCTTGGGAAGCCCTTTTTCCTGTGAAGTTCTTCTGGGATGAGTTACTGTTCTATAGGCTATAAAGCCTTTAGATATGCCACTTCTCTAGAAATACATTGAGAAAGGAACAAAGGCAGCATCAGAGAGAGAATAATTATATAAGATGCAGAGACTGCAGCAATGGCCATAAATAAATGTAATTGGAAAACTTAGAAAAGATACCTGACCATCAGATATCAAGTGTGAGACAACCTATTCAGAGGAGTAGTGGGAAAACTGCCCTTCAGCTTAGAAAATGAGGGCTTACACATTCAAGAGGGGAGGAATTGATGCAGTAGCTTGTGACACTGCTGCTGCTAGACAAGATACAAGTGAACCCACAAGGTCCATTTTTGCTCTAAACTACAATGTCTGCTTATTAAACCCACTCAATTGTGTCTCAGGGATCAGCTTGTCAACTGAGAACAATAGGATGATTCCTGTCCTGGATGCTTGCAAAGACTGATAGACTATACTATCAGCAGTTACATCCTAAAAATATGGCTGAAGGCTGAATACATATGTTTTGTAACTAAATGTTGCATGCTATACATTGAAACCAGTTTAAGATCTCTTCCTGTATCGTGTGAAATAGGACATTGTATGTATTGCTTTTCAAAAGAGAAAAAACCTTACGTTAAAATTACATTCACTTGCCCTTTGGTGTGAATTGTAGAATTTACGTATCCCTCTGATGGCCTTTTACATTCATATTATGCTCTGGTATTCAAAACAAGACTCTCTCTGTCCCTTTTCCCATTAGAAATAAACTCTCTAAATGGCCTCAGCCAAATATGCATCTTACTCATGGCAAGCAGAAGAAGTTTCTAAATCTATCTTGACATCTTAGTTATTGCTTTTAACTGAAGCCACTATACAATCTATAGGTGATACAAAAATTCTAATAGAAAGAACTCTTTGTTTTTAATATGATTTACAGAACAATATGAGAAATAACCCCAAAGCTGGATCTAAATATGTTTCAGCTTTTCACAGGGAACTGTATAACTCACCATATATTTTTATTTGTTGTTTCTGGATAGCAGAAGATATTGAATTAGGCATCAAACCTTCACATCACTCTTTCAGAATTTGGTGGGTATGTGCTGGACTGAGCAGCCAGGAATAATCATGCTGTTCCCTTTGGCATAGTCTTAAAAAGATTCTGAAAGTGTCAGGGGAAATTTATCTAAGAAAATATGAAGCAGACTCGGAATGCCCAAACCATGTAGGCTTAGTCATAAAGAAAGACTGCAGCTTGTGCAGACACTTAAATTAGCTTTAATTTAGATAAGTAATGGATCGATAGCAATAAAGCCAATACCAGGATGGATTTCAAATCAGGCTAGTTACTCCAGTGAAGAACCTGGCATCTCAGTGGGGCCCAAACCTTCTGCAATTGCTGTGAGAGTGCAACTTTGCCTCTGTTACAACACCAAGCTGCAGCTCCACATGCTGCATGAACACTTCCAGCTTTGATACAGATG